ATTCATTTTCTCTTATCACAGGTTCTATTATCTCGTATCGTTCATTACCACAGTTATCAGCTTTCTATACAGTCACATACATAAAATGGTGTACTTCTAACGACCTAGCCACTTTATCCGACTGCCTTTTCTTCATGCTTCTAACTGGCTGAAAATGAAAGATTGCAATTAGCTTGGTCAGTCCAATCAGGTAGCGCCAGGTACTCTACTCCAAATCCGTTTTGTGGAGACGTTTGCGCAGTGATCGCCTTTATTATAACTTGAGGATTAGCTAATGCTCAAAGTAACAGTTCTACGAGTAAGAGTCTAAAAAGACAAAGCATCTAGGTCTGAATAGGATCCGATCATGTCAATCTGATATAACTAGTCACTTTGCTACCTAGCCTTTTAATACCTTATCTTCCCATTAATAGTAAGCCATTGAACCGTTGCAAGGTTACTGCATGTTCAAGGAAGAAACTGAAGGTGATGGATGGTCCAGATAGTGCACCGGATAAGCAAGGTGTCGGTGAAGTTTCGGTGCGGGTTCGGGTTCCGCTACTGACCAGACATTCCGCTCTTCCACCTCAGTAGCCCTTTGTTTTGCTCGGTAATCAGCAGCAAGCAAAAAAAGGGACGAAAATGGTCTATCGCTTTTTTTCCACCACATACGCTCTGAAAGGTCATTCTTGATTACGCCTTCAAAAATTTTTTTCTTGAATTCGTTATTCCCTACCGTGAAACATTTCTCAGCATCTCCAGTTATCATTTGTTATTAGTTTTTATCACTTCTGCATACTCTTATTGGTCCTCCTCAACTTTTCGAGAAAATCCTTCGCATTCCTTTTCTATGATTTTTCCGATTTTTCTCTTCCTCCATATTAAATGTGTGAAATTTTTAATTTGCGCATCTTTTTCGTGATATATGTACGTGTGCGAGCCCGTAATATGATTCTGTATTTTTTCGTATTTTCAGAGCTATTTTGATGTCGACCTTTTACTGCGTAACCTTCGACAGCACGTTTTCAACTATTTCGGAGTGTAGGAGCTCGTATCGCTCTATCACTCTTCTTCTGTGCCGTCCAACAACTGGTGGAAATGAGGAAACAATTCGACGCACCCTTCAACACAATAGGTCAGACTTGTGTCTCCAACTTTTTCCTGTTCCATGAGATCCGGTAAGGTGTTGCAGTTGGGCAGTAATGACAAGAGTACAAGATTATAAAATCAGGGGCCTAGGCGTAGAGAAGCGGTAGGATTAACTGTGGTTTCAGGCAGCTATGCACTTCTGCGAAACACGGTCACTTGATAAAGTCTTTTCTTTTTTCTTCTGCCAGAATCGGGTTGAAGTTACTCTACCCATTCCCGTTCCATGTATCCATGGCACTTCCTGCAACTACGTTTGTTTCATCGAAGACTTCCTGATCACGTCTGGCCTCGTTCTTCTTCAAAGCTCCCTCTGGTCGTTCACCTTAAGATAGGAACTTCATGCTTCCCTTACCAGATGACCACGTGATCCGCTCAGAATGGCTCATAGCACATCCGCTGCAAAAGGTCTTCAAGATTTTCCTACCCATTTGTTTTTTTTTGTCTTCTATGGCGCTTGAACTATCAGGGTTTCATTCCAACTAGTCAATGATCACGGATGGTTGTTTTTCCATAACAAGGATGGCAAAAAATACATCTTTGCATTCCATTCATTGATTTGATGCGATTGAAATTGCTCTTCGATTTCCCTATTCGATAACGCCCTCCTCCGGTCACTACGCTTTGCAACTTGTGATTCAGGAAAATTTCTGAAAAGAGGGAAGGATGTTCTATACACCTCACATTTTTGAAATTGGGCAGTTTCATCCGGATTGATGCAGTCCTCTTGTGCTGTTTCCATGTAAGTGTCCAAACCTGGAGATGCAGAGTGGAGAAAATTCGCATTAGTTCTGTTTACATTGACTCGGAGCCCAATCCATTGTTTTGGCTATGTAGGTGCTGCTGCTGCAAGTGAACAAAAATCCCATCGAAATACCATGAAAATATCGAAGGCTAAAAAAGAAATTGAAATATTGACCGATTTCTCAATGAATCACTCATCGTTGACGATTCTGCGGTTTCGCATGGGTAGCCTTCTCCACGGATATCGGCACCCCACGAACCCACGAACTTCCGGGAGAGATGGACCCGGGATTATGATTTTTCTCTTGTCAAGAAGGGCGTATGATGCGGTTTCAAAGATGCAACATTTTTGGTGATCTTGTTGTTTTGGAACAGGCAAAAGCAATTTCCTACCTCTCGTGCAAAATAAAGCAGCTGCGCAAAATAGATTCACTAGGAGCAGAGTTCAAGCTCATGAATACTTATGAACCTCGCCTAGTGTAATGCATGCTTAGGCCCCTACCAGAAAAAGCAGTTAAAAGGGAGATGGGGTTGTCTATCTTCTGAACGGTAACGTTATCCTCACGTAGCTAAGAGCACACAGTCGAAGTTGCATTCAGGGAGCAGCAAGGGAAAAGAGTGCTATTCTTCTTCACTTTTCTTCCTCCCCTCCCCTTTCCCATCCTCACTTCGTCCTTTCCTCCTATCTATGTATTATCCTGACTTGGAATTTTCTGGGTATCACATTCTTAGGAAATAGTTATGTACTGTTTTCCAGGACGATACAGTGAAACAAACTGGTGAAAGGGGCGAGTTCACAAATGCTGTGTTCGATCCAATCTCGCGATTGATTCCGCAATTCAGCTAAAGGAAATGGAGCAAAAACGGAAACGGTTTCAGGTATTTTTATTTCTGTAGATTCTCTCAGATCGTGTAGAAGTTTTACTACACGGTCACTAGCTGGCTCTACTTCCAAAAATACTAAACACCGATTCTAGCGCTATAGTATTGATACTATTCATTCGAGCTGCGTGGTCACTGTAACTGTAGGCATTTTTCTGGCTTTTTCCAAACTTGTAGATCACTCGCCTGGATTGGGAGATTTCGTCGTGTCGGTTGCTCTTCTGACAAGAACTCCATTAAGTTCTTGTGAAAAGCCGTGAGTATGTAATTTTTGTTCAAACAGCGTGCCCAAGCCCTGTACCATCCCCCTCTCCGGGAGACGGTCATCAATGGATTAATACGGAAAGTTGAGGCCTAGGGCAGGAGCTGAGAGGAGCCATAACCAATGGGTATTGAGACAACTAGCTAATAAAGCCAGAAATCAAAGTAGTGACGAAAGAATCGTCTTCACCCCAATATTTTCACCAGAATCTTGTATTATGAGGACCATCTTCAGCGACGGACTGATTAGCGTTTATACTTCCGATCCCATGTCTCATGTCCCACGTGCTGCTTCCATGAAATGGGCCTCTAATATTGATAGCTTCTGGACTACTCCTTTCAAATCAATGGTGAAATCTTGATAGAGTAGCCCGTGGTGGAAAATCCTTCCCTTTATTGGCCCTACTGTCGCACCGACTTTTCTGCAATCGAGCGGTAAATGGAATCCCTTATGTTATCCATTGGTGATAACACTAGTAGAGCACACGCATCCTTCTTCATGTTTCTAAATCATTGGACGAGTTCCCCAGATTACTAATGGTCGGACAACTTTTGTGGCAGCTAATTTTGCAACAATGAGGCTGTGCGATCTCTATACACAGAAGCGAGGGATGCTACTATAACTCCTTATCAGCTCTTATATGCTATTATCAATTTCTGTCACCAATCATCTGCATAGGTCCTCTTATATCTGAGATCACTCACCAGCTAGCCAGGGTTCCACTGTCAACACGAAGTCCGTTGCGGATCCTGTGGCTTCTGCCTTCTGAGGTTTCTCATCAGTCACTATAAATTGTTTTCACTTCCCACCACCCACCACCTACGTACCATCAGTGTTCGCAGGACGCCGCTATTCACCTTTCAACTTTCTAGATCCAGGGGGACAGGACTTACGTATTTTTGGTCATGAACACACCGACATTTACACACACCGATACACACACCGCCACGGTACCGACACCCATACCGACACACCGACACACACACAAACACACCTACAGACAGACACACTGGCTCACAACCGGCACACACCGACTCATACATCGACACACCTGTACACAACCAGCACACATTTTAACACACTGACTCACACACTGACACACATACCGAAACACCGGCACACACCGACACACGCACTGTCTCCCACACCGGCGCACACACACTGACACACCGGTACACACACCAACACACATACCGACCACCGGCACACACACCGGCACACACACCCACTCCCACACCGGGTCACACGCATATACGCACGTACATGGGGATATTAAAAGTTGTCGAACAGCAACGTGTCAGACCATTGCAAACCACTAGTGCACTTCATGTTACATTCCGATAGTCGCGCGCAGGAAACAATTCAAGCTGCAGAACCTCCCACGATTCTAAAGATCTCTGAATCGCGAGGTATGTGCTGACGAGATGCGTGGCGTAACCCGGTTCCATCGACGATAGAATCGAGATTCACAGCCTCCGGGTCATGAGTACAGTATCATGGGGTTAGGATATCGTATGATAGGGATAGTGATAAGGTCCTCGAGGTAGGTGTTACCGAGTTCATACGCCCTGCTGGATAGGTATGCTCCGTCAAAGAAGGTCTTCCCATACGAAGAGGGGCTTGTAGAACTGAATCATCCCTCCCAATCACTGCAGTGATGTCCTGCTTTGTCCCGTTGATTGCCACACCTTAGTATAATACAAAGCTGAATAAGAGAACCCATGAGGCAGATCATATTTGTGATTTACTGCTCCAATTCTTGGATACTTCTTGGCATCAACACCCTTATTTCCAGCCTTTTAATCATGACCCTGATTGTGTTCGGTTGCGCCTTTCAGTGTTTTCACGGTTAGTATGATTTATACAGATGTTGGAAGAAGTATGTTACCCCCAAAGTTTCGATAAAGTTACGACTGTGATTACAAAGCAGCTTCAGAAGATGATTTATTGTCAGTAGATCAGTAGGAAGACGGTGATCGGCGTGTCACTACTGTATTTGCGCGACATTCTGCTTGTTGTCCTCCTTCATCATGTGCTCGGTCATCGTTTCTGTGTGCACGAACTTCCCATCAACCACCTTGTTGTCCACTTTCGTGTCCGCTGTGTGCACTTGAGGGTTCTCCAATGGAGGCAAAATCGGTTGCGAGTCTCGTGGTAGTAGCGACTCTGGCGATGTGTATGGATTCGATGCCGTTCGGGTCACCTCAACTTTACGATCGTACGTCTCCTTCTTATAAACTGCGACCGTCTTCATGCCTTTCGGAGCATCAGTGCGCCTTTCTGCCTGAAACGGGGACATGACCGATTGACAACAACGAAGCAGAAAGAGACTAGGGCAAGGGACGGCTTAAGGCCAAATCCGCTTCTGTTGGCCTCGTAGACTAACTTTATCTCGAAATTGAGCCACTCACCATCTTCACGCCGTCCACCGTCTTGTAGGTGTTAGTAGTAAAAACTGAGGCAAACTTGAGCTGTTGCACTATCGATCATGGGTGTAAGATACGGTTTGATAGAGATAGTGATAAGGCCATCAAGGTAGGTCTCACCGAGTTCGTACGCTTCGCTGGATAGGTGTGCTCCACCAAAGAAGGTCTTCCTATTACGAAGAGGGGTTTGTAGAACCGAATCTGCCCTCCCAGTCACCGCACTGATGTCCTGCTTTGAATATCATTAACGAGGGACTCAGCGACCTGACGAAGGTTTGGTCCTGAGTCCCGAAAATCGCAATATACTTCCTATGAAAAACAGTAACATGGCTCCGGGTAGTATTTGGTTTGTTGCTCTGTTGCTCTGCCAGTTTGTCGGAAGCCTGTCTGACTGCGAAGTTTTCCATGACTATGACTAAGGTAGTGATATGGAAACTCACCGAGAATTAGGGTAGTAATAGGTAGGAGTACAAGTGACCGATGTGATGTATGCCATGCAGCACAGATCATAGCATAGATGAATCCACTGCCACGGCAACTCGATCAATCGATAGGCGTTCGAATCTATTTGTAGCGTGATTGAGCAAGTAATCTTTACTGAGCTCTCTTCTGCAATGGATTGAATACTTTGATGAGTAAAGGATCTATACTTGTAATAGGGTGAGTTATCACTGGATTCTGACAGAACATTCTTCAGCTCATACCGATTACCCTTAGAGGTTCTAGAAGGAGGTGGCTTTCCTTGTGCTAAGGCAGTGCAAGGTGTGGATCACAAGAAAGAAGAAACTGAACCTTTTGTCGCAGATTCCGTCCGTCACCACTTGAAACTCTCACTCATAGGCAGCCTATTATGTTTTTAATTCTTCACTCTACCCCGTTCTTTTGGGTGGCACCCATTCTTTTCTGGGAACAGGTAATGCTTCCAGTTGACGGCTACTGATGGTGGGTGTGGGATATGTACGAAAAATGGGAAAATAGAACGCCTGAAAGAGGAAGCTCTAGGAGGTTGCAGAATGACCGCAGAATCGCTGGAGCATAAAAAAATTCTAGTAAGAAGTTCACCTCAGAGGAAGGGATTCTGAGTCCAAGCATCCCTTCCCGCCTTATCCTCTAGACGTGCATTTCTTCGTTCTGTAATTGTACACGGGTTCCAGAGGAAAATTTCATTTCTGAAATAATTCTGTGACTAGTTGATACAATATTTCAACTTTCTTCATCTTCTTCCTATGAGGTTACCATAACTAGTTGAGGGCGAAGTGAATTTCAACAAGGAAAGAGGGCCTTGAATACATGTTCCGTAAGGGACGCTGTAGCTTGATCGTTCTATTTTCTGATCGTTCCTCCTCCTCTGTGTCCGTCAACCCTGCTCTCGCTTGACCTTCTTTGTCCCTTTCTGAGAAAAATCTGAGAATTCTTTCATTCCACCGTGTCCCGCGCTTGCCGCATCCGATCGCGCAATCGCACGATGTGAAGGAAACATTTGAATTTTCTCTGGGAGATTACGATAACTGCCATGAAAAAGGATGCTGAAATGAGAGAGTCAGAGACATTCCCTGATGAACGACGGTGCACAATTCACGAACCATGAAAATTCTCCTTCAGAGGAAGATTTTCTTCTGACAACATTCCGCAACTGGTAAGACTAGCTGATTCTCCATTGGCTCGTTGTCTTGACAGTCTTTCATTAGTCGATCACTTCCGATAAGGCTCAAGCGTTTTTGAAAAGGCGTTGATTTCTGCTTTCTAGGACTTACAGCTAGGTTCGCATGTATTCTCCTTCGCATCTAAGCTCTCTCCGTCTGTTTGAGCGCCTTTTAAGTAGATTATCTGCAATCCTGGGTTTGGAGCACGGAATGAAGCTGGGTGAAAACCCACAACTGGTAAACTGAAAGGCTTTGAAGTCGCTAACACTTGAGCTGAACTACCACGAGGGGAGCTAAATGAACAGAAACGTTTCTCTGGGAAATTTGCTTGTTCGAGGGCTCACTGGTATCACGAAGCAGCACAAAATGCATGCGTATCGATTGCCGAAGAACGTCGTCTTCAAGGGCCCCACCATGCGAGCCTATATCGGGCTCTAACCTCAGCGAAGGTAGCTTCAAAGGCGGTCCCGATTCTAATGGGAAGCGTTGAAGAAGCACCTCACCGTGTATTTTGGCCATCGGCCTTAATTGTACCTACCATAGTACAAAGTGATATCACAAGGATTCGAGACCCTCTACTATTACCGTGCGAGTCTTTTGTGCGCGTAAAATCAATACGTATTTTTTATTACGTCCATATGAGAAATGATAATGATAAAACACCGGCTGTCGAATGAAGTTTTATTAAGAGTTTTGGGAACATCGACAATTTTCATTCTGTGTGCATTGTGGTTAGTAGGTGTGTTAGTAGAAATGGGATCAGGGACGATCAACTATGCTCCAATCCGTCGATGGCAATGAGTGAATCAGAGGAATTCACTGCTTCGACTCTCCCTTTCCATGTGCTCACTGGATCTCTCGGAGCGTTGAATGTCCGGCCCAACTTGCTCCACATTGACACTGCTCTGAAACGTATGGACTTGCGGATTCTGTAGCGGTTGAATAGCGTCGTGGTCAGGTAGGGGCGACAGATTGTCTGGCTCGAACGAATCATCTGGGGTGGGAGTGGTACGAGTTCGGGTTACACTATGATCGTAGGTCTCTTTGATGCGAGTATTGACCTTCTTCCTTCGTCTACTTCGTTTCCTTCGTGGTCTGTCGCTGTGTTCATCATCCGAACGATTTGCGTTACGCTGAAAATAGCTTTTTCCTGGAATAGTCTGAGAAGTAAAACTGAAAAAGAGAATTTGAACTTGGAAATGTGCTGCAGCGAGATTTCCTCTTTTCCTCCAGGGTAAACCCATTAAGCGGAGGATCGAGATTCCCACCGACCACTTCATTCGGTCGACGTTTTGACGTTTTCGCCTCCTTCGGAGCCTATGATCGGTAGGCACGTACGGTCATCAATCGGCTAACATAGAGGCTTCGTCGAAGGCAAGAATGCCATGACTGCAGCCAAATGAAGTGGACGTTAAAAATCTTGATCATTCAGCTCGAGATGTGAATCAAGATGAGAAAACATGCATTTTTCCCGTAGCTCTTTCTTCTAGAGGTTGGAGTCAGATGGATTCGAGAAGTTCCACACAAAAAGATGAGAAAAGGGTCGATTGAAGTTCGATCACTACGTCTTACTTCCTTCGAAGTGAGGTTTAAGGAGTGGGTATTCCGCTGGTAAGCCCAGGTTTGGGCGCATATTCTGATGCTTTCACGGCTCCTCAGACCTCCGCTGCATTCCCAATAGAGGCGACGGCGTAATTAGTGTTGAGGCGGAGGCAGCTTACTTAGGCGTTTCGTTATTCGAGGGAATCGAATCCAGAATTGGAAGGACTCGGGAAATAGGAGCTTCACCCTCGGCTATGGGCTAAATCTTACGGAGATGATTCCACCATCCCCCCGTAGACAGTCCGGCCTTCTGGAATGCTTGAGCTGAAAATGCGATTCCGTTCCCGGGAGTGCAAGCACGGATTCTGGAGTATGGGTCGTTTGAGTCAGTGATATGCAAATTCGAGAAGGCTTTCCTAACGGACCTGCGCGGCCTGCACGCGAACCTAGTGACACACACATCTGCTCCTCAACTTGATGTGATTGCCCTATAGTCGGAGTGAGTAATAAGGCTACTCGCCTCAACGTTAGCATCAGATCCACGTCCAGCGCTTGTTCGTATGTTCGTTTTGAAAAGGCGTTCGGCTAGATTTTCTGCAAACTGGCATTCGCTTTGACTCATTGGGTATTCGTAGCTGGATCCGCCTCCTCGTTGCCGACCAACGTCGTTCGATAACGCCACAGGGTCAACTTTGTTTCTTAAAGTTTCCACTGAAAACGTCATAAATAATTGGCTTACTATGCAATAAATGAAACTGTTCGAGTGAGCCCATTTTCGCTGAATGGCTTCTCCTTCTGAGTCTTTTCCAACCTCGAATATGACTTTGTTCCTCCCAGAGCGTCGTGACAATATGGGAACAAGGACACTGGGTTTCAGTTGTCACTTCATTTGTCTCGACAGCTGTATGGAAACACTTATAATTTCATTAAAAAGCTACGGTTAGCGGTACTCCCAGGGAATCGACCGATAAATTAATCGCCCATCGAACTGCTTCTGCCCTTTGGTACTGAACCTGCACAGATCCTCTTCTCCCATCTGTTAGATAACATTGGGATGACTCAGCCGTTCTATTTTTCTTCTAAAGGTTTTATACAAGAACAGCTCACTTCTGTGTGACTCTGAGTGTACAGTTTCTCCCACTAGTTTGTTACCCTGAAATGGCCCTGATGTACTCCAGGGATGTTGATCTGTCAGTTTATGGGCTGTTCTGATTCGCTTACGTTTTCAGCGTAGTTAATATACAGAACGACACCGGTAACAGCTCCAAGAGTAAACGCCAACATCCCCAACAAGTGTGGGCGTGTGAGTAAGAATGAAACACCATTCATTCGTTACTGATATCACACTTCTCATCATATCATCGCAGCAGCGGCTTTTCTTCTTTTCATTAACATTAATCATACGCCGTTCCAAGGATCTCGAAGAAGGTGTCCAGGAAAGCCCCGTACTCGGAGCGCTCTCCCGGGAACACGTCGTGGGGGAGGGGGGAGGAGGGGCGGTCGAACAACTTCCTCAGACCAAGAAAGAACAGAGAGCAGGGTACTCGTGGCGCTATTCAGGGGATCTGAGGCAGGAGACGGTGGAACACCTTCTCCAGCTCGAGTGAGGACATGGTCTACGCTTCCGTCGGTACTTTTCCACCTTACCAGTATGAAACCGAACTGCTCCTGGGACATCAGGACTAATTTCCTCATTCTTGAGTAAACCCTTGCGCAGTGTGACTCTCAGTATCGTCGCTAGCTAAATTCTGAGTTCTCACCCACAACCCTGAACGGATTGCAAGAGAGAGCTCAGAATTAGTAGTGATTGCCTGTACAACCACCCCACACATTGATATTGGCCTCTATCAATTGATCGGAGATGCCGAGGACCTACGCTATGGTCCTTGCTGCTTAGGTGATATCGCTAAAATCACGGCGAGCTATCTTTTGAGCCCACTCCTAGCTGTAACTACATCAGTTTGCAGTAGATTTTCCATATCGTAGCATTCACGTCGGTTTCACAAGCGAGGTTGGCGTACCCGTGTGCCGAAGTTCCGACTTGGTCCTATGACTTCTGACGGAATGAGGGCACCATGGCCAATTAGTGGGGTTACTGGCTATAGGGCATCTTCGTGGCACTCTCTATCAGTGCAGCTTCTGGAGATTGATACTCACCGGTATTCCTGTCCTCTATCTCTTCCTGATCTCACATTGTACAGTGGCGGCGGGTGGTTCATTTGCTTAGTTGTGCGCACTTAGTGTAATGCATAAATAAATAAATAAATATCGCTACCTCTACCATGGCAGACAGACCGACAAACACACAGTCATGGGAAGCTCTCGGACAGGCAAACAAACATACAAAAATGCAAACTAGTGGGCAGACAGAACGACAAACCAACCAAACAGCGCAACAAACACAACCAGTGGCTGCCTTACATTTAGGGAGGGTTTAAACCTTCTACGCACCATTGTCCCCATACCACTTTATCATTTTTCTATGTGTAGTTTTTAGTATAAGGGTTAGGAACGAATTGGAGTGACGATCCCGGTGATGTCGTTTTCTGAAGCTCTCATCAGCGTTCATAAGCTGTTGTCATAACGTGATGTCATACACCATCGATTTCCATGTCCATCCCCCTCCCCCACAACGCCTCAGACATAACATAAGATTGGGAGTGTGCTTGTCAGCACTTTGTGGTAGTACGAAGGTGCATCGACTAAACTTCTTGCTTTCTGACTTCTTGATTGTCACAGTTTATCAGTTCGCATCACTTTTTATCAGCTACTATTCATTTTTACCCTCGTTAGATGTTGACATTTATCGGTTACCAGAACAAGCGCTTATCCTTCTAGAGGTTATGAGTTTCTTCCACTAGTAATCTGGCAATACTGTTGGGCAAAACTTAATGGCGATATAGTCAAATTAACTGAACCCATTAGTATAGCTGTACCAAAACTATTATTATACCCATTTTTGCTATATAATTATATGACTATTAAAGGATGAGGATAAAGTCCTGGGGTGTTAATCAATCTCGTCTGAGGGATGCGCCCACGCATTCGACTTCCATTCAGATGGTAGTGGCGTACAAGTCAGTGCTTTTATCCTCCCATACATATCCGGTATCATTAAACCGACCACGAAAGGATGAAAGGCTTGGTTTGGTTAGGCGGATATCAATCCTGGATTCGAACCCATGACCACGCGTGTGTGAAGGGCCCACTTGCCACTACACCACCTCCGCCCGAATACGACTTATGACCATTATTATGTCATTTAATTGAGGCAGACGTACTTTTTCTGGGTTCTAAAGTTCAAATTCCATGGAGCTACGTTTTTGATCTGTGATCAGTGGAAAAATGCGAATGTTACATTTGTCCTCAAGTTTTGCACTTTGGCATTTGTTGATCGTCTCAACTTACATTCTCTTATCACTCTCATGTCTAGTTGAACAAAAAACTTTCAAAATATTCGGCGAAAGTTGCTTTTTAGACTTTTGTATAGACTTTGAGCGAGCCGGACTAAAAACTCGACAATGCCGCGCACGGTAGCGTCGCTGTACAGTAATCAGTCGGCGCGCCAGGTCGGTTAGTGTTCGGTACATTAATTAATGGCAACATTCATCGTTCCACACTTTTCATACTTGGAAAACTACTCGATTCTTTTGCAGTATCATCTTCTTAACCCCAATAGTGCCAGTTTCGTTGTCGGTATGCTTTGTGTGGGTCAGTTTAGTCACCAGAAAGTGGGCGGAGCTTTGAATTCCTGTCGAGTAGAAAGAAAAAACATCAACTGGTTTTATTTGTCCCCAATAATTAGTGACATACCAGTTTGGCAATGGAATTGGCCCATGTATTATAGATACGTATCGATTAGTCGCATTAATGTGATATTTACCCACCTTATGAACATGGGACACAGGACGAGACTTTTAAAGTGTTTATTGATGTCAATATAGAAATTAGTGAAAGATTCGCCAATCAATTAAACAATTGCTACTTCCTATTTCTTTGATTTCTCCGGTCGTTTTCTGCTTTCATCACCAATCTGAAATCCCAAATAGGTTTTCTACTGGTTTTTCTGAATTTTGAGTCGTAAAACAATCAATAGGAACGACAAAAATGGTTGACTTACCACCTCCGTCATATAAAAATAATATACAGATCCAGTAAGTGTAGCGATAGCGGTGAAGAGTAATGCCATGGCCGATTGACCGCCGTTCGCACGAGGAGGTGGCATGTGGAGAATGAACCACCTCCCCTACGTCTCTGCCTCTTCCCCCCCCCCCCCCCCGTTTTCAACGGGTTCTTATTATGTCTCTCAGCGATAGCCATAGCTTCTCTCAAACTGCTATGGGCATTGAATAGGATTCATGTGATGCTACTGGCCCGAGATGTCAGACATCCACAAGTCTTGGTCAGATACGCCATGCATTCGGTTTTCGCTCGGAAACACGATAACGTTTTAATGCATGTTGGCGTTCTTTTTTTTCCGGCAACTAGTGGATGTTCTTCCCAGGCGACAAAATTTTTAGAATTTTCTAAAAACAAGACGTCTATAAGCAGCTATTGGCTAACGGCCACATCTCGGTTTGAAAGAACTTTCGAGAATTTCTCGTTCAATCAGTTCAATGGCTTATGATTTTTTCGGTTGACTTGTTCGAGACAGAAAAGTTTTCGTTGTTCTCAATGGAATCTGGACGTGGGCAATCACTGTCATTGGAAAGCAATTATTCAATTCTTTTTCTTCTCAAAGTTTACACTGTCAACGACACTATGCCCCATCAGGAACCCACGCCAAACAATCATTTGGGAATTACTTGGCTGCTTTAGAACAGAAAATGAACATCGAGCTGCTCTTCAGTTTCTTTTATTGGATTTTTGATCATATAGGCGATCCTAGATACAGGCCAACTCAGTTTTTGAAAAAGGGAGGATCTAGCGTCAAGTCCACGACATTGAATATCCAACGAGTTGACTGGGTAGGAAAAGGTCGTTCTTGCGAGAAGGATTAAGAGTTTGGTTTGAACAATTGAATTTTCTTCAGGCTATGAAACTGGCATCTATATCCCAGCATGTACATACCGCTCGACCTTTGCGAGGGTTGAATAGGTGCGGAGAAAAAGAAGAAGATGGAATGGCATTTTCAATTAGTAATAGGAATGACGGAAAGACTGGGAGAGAGATAACGGGAAGGGAACAGGTACTCACGTTAATACTTTCGTGACCTCATGCCTGGCTCTGAGGTGGGGCAATGAACTGCAACTCCATGAGAGGATTGAAAGTACTGATCTGCACTCTCCAAGTTGGTACTGGTCAAAAGGAAGGTTTGTATGAGAGTAAATGTGGCGTGCCTATTCCGCATTAGAGCTCTCGTTTTTGTGGCGTCAAGTAGAGCTTGTTGTCCGTAGCCCTAGACGGCTGGCTGCAGACAACGCCAAGCAGCACAGGGGTTGGCAGTGGGAGCGGGAAGGAGTTTTCGTTGGGGTAGTTGCGGTAGAATGAAGCTTTCCCAGTCAGAGCCCAATTTCGACTTGGTTTTGAAAGACTGATAGTTTTCGAAAGAAAGTTCAAGGTAGCCCTTCACCACACCATGCTTGATAAGAAGTTTCGAAAAGGAAAAGTTGTCTTCAGGAAGGGGTATGGGTACATTCGCCCAGAACTGAATGGACGCGGCATATCGCGCGGCGAAATTCGTGGCGATTCAAACGGCTTTAGCGCCTATTATTGGGGTCCAAATTTGAAGAAGAGTCAATCAGTACGATCATCTGACCCTACTAATGTACTCTACTTCAAGTTTGCACCCCAATGATAGGTGCCAAAGTCGTCCTGAACGCCAGGAATCTCGCCGCGCCATTCGCCGCGTCCAGCCAGTTCTGGGTGAATGTTCCGTCCCCCTTCAGGAAGTTCTATCACAATTGGTGTGGGTTACAGATGACACACCGCAAACGACGCCTGATCCAAAGGCGCGGTACATGGCTCAGTCAGTGGGCTTCAGAATCAGTTGTGCTTCTTTCTTTTTTTGCTAAGGAAGAGTTATGAATGGATGTGTTCAGCGTTTGGAACTTCCAATCTTTGCTTTCATCAACAGTACACTCGCTTGTAGTCCTTTATTAGCAGTAAGTAATGCATATAACATGACAGTTAGAACACTTTATACGTGACGCAAGTGGAATAGTTTCACTAGGGGACAAAGTCAGTACTAAAATGGTTAAACAGTTTACTGAATCGCGATCAAGGTTTCGGGTTCGAGTAATTCGGCGGTTGCCACCATTTCATCCGGCAATGAGACAAGTTCCTGAAAAATACGCCCCTCATTGCTTGGAAACGTCACACAGAATTTCTCTGCTTTATGGGTCCCACAGTTACTGAGCTCACAGGCAAATGGCTTTGTTTAACTGCCAATTGACGATATTCGAAATAAACTCGTCCAAAGTGGGCGGGGTCCGTTGCACCTGACGCCAACACTATTCATGCGCTAAGGATCCATTGCTGTGTAGTTCGCCAGCCCAGTACTTACTCGGACGTTTTCCTGTCAAATATGTGTCCCGAGATTTTAATACTACTGCAGTTATTCAAATCCAAATGTGTCGGGGGAACATATGTAGGCCAACGAGAGGGCGCCGCGCTTGTCGCCCCAGACAAACCGCGCGGCGAACAGTGCGACGACCGCAGAGTGCCGTTGTTACACGTTAATTCTTGTGAATACATTTCTGGAGAGTTGAGCTAAGCAAGAAAAACTGGTAAAGGCGGGTGTCAACGTGTGAAGGCAGGCGAAAGTCGTCGCGTTAGTTGGTGCGCTGGCATACGCGGCATGAGGTCGCTACCCCACTCGGGTCTGACAACTCATTAAACAGTACTGGTGTAGCAGGCAACGAGTGGCCTTACCACTTGAGAGATGTGACCTGGTGGTGCAGGAGCTGGCGATGGTATCACAGCACGAGCTGGACTTTGTCGTCTTTCTGCCGTTCGTATCGTATTTGCCAAAGTCGCAGTTCTGATGGAGCTGCTCGGAAATCTCGAAGTGGCCACCGATGCACTTCTTGCCGTTTGGCAGTTGAACGTTACGGTCTGTGCAGGAACGTCTTGGAGGCAGTTTGCTGAAAATGGGCAATTCCGTTTATCCCATACCGATGTTGAAGCGAGACGTCCCTGTCTGTCGTACCATTTTTTACATTTTGAGTGGGCGGTGCTGTCTGCTTCCTTCCGGGACTATGTTCGAAGACCTCCTGAAACGTCGAAATTAGCAGGTTCAACGACAAACGAACCTTCTGTACCTTTTTGTTGGTGCAGTAATGATAGAGAACTGCACCGGCTATAATGCCACTTGCGAAAGCTAACATTAACAAGTAATTCGGGTGAGTAATGAATGAAAATGAAGAAAACCACTTCGACTGTCAGTATTTATACCTAGTCTGCTGTTATCATTAAAATTTACATAGCAATTAGTAATTTAGAAGTTATGATCTCACTGCGCTCTCAATGAGTCACATGAACTGGGGTGGGTCAGTGGCATCTTTCATAGTCCACGACCGGTTGCGCGACTGGTCGCGGACCCATCTCACGAGCGACAGGCGACTGGTCGCGCTACTGGTCGCCGGTCGCTAGCGACTGGTCGCTCGACTGGTTGCTCGACTGATCGCGCGGGACCGTCCACGGCGGCACCCATAACTAGCGCGGCCTCCTCGACCGATCGAGCGACCAGTGGCGCGATCAGTCGAGCGACCAGTCGCTAGATGGACTACCGTGGACTATGAAAGATGCAGTGGGTGTCGCTTTGGAACGGAGTCGCCACGTCCAAAATCGGGAGCGCGAGTCGACATGCAGCATCACCTTCCGCATGGGAACTAGATCACCTTGTACGGTGGTCTTGGGTGCACATGTCGGAATTGTCGAAATGTCCAAAGCACAGCCGAGCTCTTTACATTCATAGTGACGAGTTCCGAAGCATTGGCTGTGCTATCCATCCTCGGAAAGCTTAGATACTCCTAGTTTTACCGACCTTAATATTTATCACTTTGTGGTTCTTGCCTTGGCTTGCCCCAACCATTGGGAAGCGATCTTTCATCAACGAAACATCCTCCTATTGTTTCTTTATGTCGTGGCCGATGCAACTGCAAAAAACAGCTGAATGTGAAAAAGTAAATGAATTGGTGGCTCTTCTCGGAGGAGAAATATCGTCTCATACGGCTGACAAATGTCGAGGTTTTATGAAACGACTGTGTGACGACCCTTCAGGATCGTCGCATGCGGTGACCTCGCTTCATTGTCGGCAATCGCCTTGGCGCTACCTAGACCATCTACCATCTTCAAAGGTATGAAGGTGTGGAAGTGAATGACTGCTTTCATGGTCCGCCGGCCGGGTTGATCTAATTTCTTCGCTGAAAATAATCCTTTTTGATGTCTCATAGAGGCTGACACAATGGTATTCAATGAATGCTGTATGTACTTTCACAGAAAATAGCGTTTCAGATTGCCTTGGAGGTGACTAACCATCGGAAAGAAATTGTTCATAGTCTTTGCCAATCGCTTTATAATAATTTCACGACCAAAGACGTCAGTTCGTGGTTGTTCAAAAATGGAAATCTGCTAGGGAGACCAGGGTGAGCTTTAGTCGCCCCTTTTGCTCTGATTAAGTAACTGTGGCATCCAGATGATCACGGATATCTTTCAGGATCCTACGAAGGTTAGTTGGTTGTACCGACTGAGCCATACCGAACGACATGCAAGAATCGTCTTTCTTCGATGAGTCCTGCATCGAACAGCAGAATCGATAAGCTTCTGTTCTTCATGTGATTGAATCTCGTTCTTCATGTTCATTTGTTTCTGATCTTCCCTAATTTGCTTTTTTTTAACTAGCTATACCTGTAGTGAACTCTCAAGATTGTTCCATGCGCACTCGGTTATTCTCGATAGTGAACAGAAATCGCCGATTGTTTTCCAATAAGCAGGAAATCCACCGACATGTCGGATATGTTACTTGTTGTTCACTTTGTTGTTTGTTGTTGTTTGTTCAGTTGCTTACAGCGTTTACATGTTGTGTTGTGAATAGTTGTGTTATGGTGATTTCTCCTATCGTTGATTGCCGACTTCATACCATTTATGTGTTGCTACGATCATACAGTGAACTCTCGAACTTTTCTCGAAATAAGCAGTCCCACTCGTTTACATCCCTTCACCCCCCGCACATGAACAACCGGAAGGTTTGGGGATGTTTCAAGAATAGGACCGGGAATAGCTTCGTGCAGAACATCCGGGATTCGATTTTCCTTGCCGTGACGGCAACACGTTAGCATCCCACCTTGATAGAGAAGATACTATGTCATTTCTGCACAAGAGGCTAACGAGGGCATTCAGTTATCACAAGAACGCAAAGCTATGGACAAAATGGTTTACCTCAGATTACATTCGAACCCGTCCAATTATTTCTTCGAAAACTATCCCTATGCTAAGAATAATTTCATTTTTTTTCTTTCTATTTCTAAGTTGCTACAAAACCTTAATGGAAACAGACCAAATCACACCGGAAACATCACACCCTGTCCGATCCCGCACGTTGTAGTTGGTCTCGACCAGTACTTGTATTGGAAGTCGGTCAGCAGTCTTCGATGTATTAAGACTGATGCAATATAACTCATTTGAGAATAGTGAAATAATGTTCCCTCTTGAGAAGTACAATAAAACTTTTTACTTATATTTGTGCAAGACATCATTAGGAAATGGAAAACATTGCAACACATTATTTGGTGGTGGGTCCATTGCACTTCATCATTCTTCTTAGCTATGTCTCTTGGAAACAGTATCGAAGGCATTAATCGCTATGACAGTTTGTGCAGTGGCTAGTTCCTTGTTTCATAGGCGCGGAGTCGTTGGTTCGAGTTCGGCGACGGTACAGTTTTGTTTCAGAACACTTGTGACATTCTATCCTACCACAAATATTCAATAAAACTACGCCACCCCCGTTGGAACACATTCATCCACACAATAAAATGATCCTGAGTCTCCTTAGCTCAGCTGGTTGACGTT